TCGTACATGAAAGTGTTTTCGTTTTGGCGCTGGGCATGTTACTTGTTTTCGTTCTGGAGGCGTGGCGCTGGGCGGTTGGCTGGATACATTTGTTTTCGTTTTGGCGGCGTGGCGCGTTGGATTTGAATTCTTTGTTTGGGTCGATGGCTTGGGTTTCGGGGTCGGATGATATGGATCTTGATGCTGAAGGTTAATGGCTGATGGCGTTGGCGGTGGCGGTGGCGGCGGCGGCTGGCTGATTTGTGCTCTGTGCTCTGTGCTCTTTGCTCTGTGCTCGGTGCTTGGTGCTCATGTTGGTTCTGTGTTGGATCTGATGTTGGTTGTGGTCCCCCTGACCGTTTTTTTGTTGTTGTCTGGCTGGAGCATGTCGTCGTCTTCCTCGGATACGTCGTCTTGTACAGCGTGGCGATGAGTTCCTCATCGCTCAGCGTCGCTTGGTCTGATGGCGCGGCTCGCAGCAGGCGAAGGCGTCGACTGACGAGGCCTCCTTCTGCCGCGGCCTGGATGACCGACGGCCGCGCCTCGGAGGACGCGGCCACTCGTCGGTTGGTTTCGCTTGCGGAACGGCTGGAAAAACGCAGAAATATCCAATGGGATCCTATACGTGTTAAAAGGGTGCTTCGAATATGCCTGGTACACCCTGCTTCTTTTTGTGGATCAAAGCGGCGACGATCCAGGCCAAAGTTAGACTGCCAAACGAGATTAGGCGAGCGCTCCACTTGGCGTTTTAGCCTCCCAGTTGTAAGCGATACTTGCCACAGCACTACCAACTTGGCTTGCTGGCATCAAGAGCTATTGTTTGCCCCAATATACGTGCATGTTTTTCGTGCAAATATTACATGTGTATCGCGTTCATTGACTGGACAAGGGCTGGTAGTGTCGTCGCCGTTTTAGAACTCACAGTCAGATGTCGTGCCAAAATGACAACCTAGACACCAACACGATACCGGTAGCGTGCACGTCGCCAATATATAATCGGATTTCGCGTTATCTTCGTTGTTAGAGTGTTCGCATACGGAGACACTAGCAATCTCCTTCTTCATTCGCTCGCCGGGCCGAGGCTGCGGCACGGGGGTGCATCTTGCTCTTCTGTAGTTGCTCGCGGCCACATGAGAGGCCCATGACGCCACGCTCCGCAAAGTCCATCCAGGCGTCGCGATCGGCGGCAAAGCTACGCAGTTTGTTGAGGTCCTCGAGAGACGCCAGCGACTAAGCAGATCATCAAGACAGTGTAATCACGATCAAGTAACGACTCGTACATTAGCACCCAAGCAAGAGCCATCACGGTGCGATGGACTTGCATATCATGTCCACGATATAGTGAGTCCACTCTCTGAAGCGTCGTCGCCCGCCCAAACGGTAATGATGCCAGCGCGCCGGACCCGGAAGTCCGCAAATAGATTCCTATCGCCGAGCATTTGGTCGCCGAGGGTTGTATCAGCACACTGCTGTACCTCTAGTATACTAGGAAAAGCTAAGTAGTGGCGAGAACATGATCACGTAGAAGAGCGGTTTTGAGCATCAAGGTCGTCTTCGATGTGTAACGTAGCACCTCATATCGGCTCGACGTGGTGTCGCTTACAGCACAACTCTCCATCTCCGTGCGTTGATGCATCGATGTGTTGAAGCTATAGCATCGACTCGGGGGTTTTCCATCGTCTTCGTGTACTTTCGTTGTTTAGTCGTTTAGTCGTTTAGTCGTTTAGTCGTTTAGTCGTTTACACTGTTAGACGGTTTCACTGTAAGTCGGTTACGGGTGCTCGACGATGGGTTTTGTGCGGCTGCCACGACCGATTACAACCAACTTGCCTATTGAATTGCCTAAATTTGAGGTACATTGAGTGTCCGAATCTTGTCCTCGGCCGCACTTTTGGCGGCTTGAAGTCACGCTGTTCCTTCGCGTGCAGCCTTTCTACTCGAACACCGTTACGTAGTATCCACATGTAAAAAAAGTCTCATCTGGACATTCATGCTAGACGCTATCTAAATCTGGTCATCCAAGACGATCGCGCGACTAGTAAAGTCGAAATCGTGCTCGATAGCGATGCGGTCGACGACGGAGTCGTGGGATACTACTGGTCGTGTTGGCACCTACTACTGTAGTACACTATAACTTGCATCGAATAGAGAGTAATCGAGAAGGCTTAGATGGTGTACACTGTACTTGTCGCTGCTCGAGGGCGCAGAACGATCGTCACCAGGCAGTAAGACGGGCCGAGCATCCCGACATCCAGGCCAAAATACGTTGCAAGGACAGACAGACCTGGGTCCAAAAGCATGACGATGCGTTGCATCTTGTCAGCACATCTGGGCCGACGCACCCATTTTTATCGATGCATGGTCACATGGTAGTACAGTGGAGGACAAGAGCTAGGACAAGGTACTCGGCTAACTAAGCTCGACGCACGACAGCGGTGTGGACAGAAACGAAGCGATGTGAAATCGCAACGGCGCTTTGCCCACTTTTCAATTTCGTACCAAACGGCGATGCAACTCGGTTACCTTCTTCTTGCGATCGCTGCAGTCGTCAGCGCCGCCGTGCTGCCCGAGGACCAGCCCGCCAAGCCAAACCTGCGTGCCAGAATGCCGAGACTTTGCCGCGCGAGTCCTTCCGATCGTTGGTGCTGGGACGACGATTACGATTACTGCTGCCCATAACTGCTGCCCTGCTCAAATGTATGGTGAGTCGACTCGCGACGACTTCTGTAACTCGAAACAAACGTGAATACGCTTTGCTTTTTCAATGTGTCTTTCCAGCCCAGGACCAATCGCAAGAGAAAAGGAATTTTTGGTTATATCTACGTACATGTCCAGTAGTTCGCCCACAGCATTTCGTGACTCGTAGTACCTAGTGTTTTTTTCCACTGGGTGGTTTTCCTTCGGCACCCTTGCTTTATGCGTTGCGCTGCGAGCGAAAACAGCTGTGCTGATCATATGAAACTCCGAAACGTCACGTATGTCGAACCGCGTAGTTTTGCTTGCGGCGTACTGGTCGACGCGGTACATCACCCGGCCGCGCGATGCCTGCCATGTGAGAGACGCCGCATCAGGTAATTCCAACTCTTCACGAATCGATGATGTCCATGTATTATCTTCTCACAGGAGGTGGTTATTGGGTGGCTTTGCTCTCACTGGGTCATTTAACTCCCCTTCCTTGCATGCTTTTGCGCTGCTAAGCTCGTGTTGGGTACTGCCGAGTCTCTCACCAGTTTGCTGTGTCTCTCCGAGTGTCTTCTAGATCTGCGAGTATAGATTCTCTTACGCACGATGCATTTTGGTGGCTGCAAGTGGCAAACGGTCTCTCCAGCGTTTCCGAAGAGTCGTTTCACATCCAGAATTGAGGCGGCCGTTGGTGCAACATGGCGTCGCAGCCGCAGTTCGTGCCCTTGGCACCACGCCGCCACCGTCTCACGCCCCTCGCTGCATGGCTCTGGCTCGGCGGAAGCTTGGCGGCTGGCGTCTGGTATTTAACGCTTCTCGCGCCGCATTTTGCCAACGACCTGTGGTGGGCCCACTACAATACGAGCGGCTCGCAGGCGTTCTTGATTGACGCTACGAACGCACTCCTCGAGAGCCAATCCGTTGACATTCTCGCCGTCACGATCGCCAAGTCGTACGCCACGGACGTGACGTACACGACGCGCCACCCGACGTATGCCTCGCGACTCTTGCTGACCTCGCTCACGTCCCTCAAGTTTGCAATCGCGAATCTTCGCAACACGTCGGCAGCGTACGCGCTCTGGCTCCCGACGCAATTTTGCTATGTCGATTTCGGAAAAGTGTGGGAAATGGCGCAGACGGACGCGCGCCAAGCGCGGTGCGCGGCCAAATACACGGCCAACGGCGCCGTGTACCTCGAGACCGTCCTGCGCAACGTCGAGAGCTGGTCGTCGTTTCTAGAGCTCTATGGTGGCGACGGCAACATCTTTACGATTGGCCTGCAGCTCGCTCTGCAAGAATCAGCGACAGGCTACGCATGGCTCGACGCGACGGCCAATGTTTCGACGTCGATTGCCGACGAAGCGAAGCTGTGGCGGTCCGCGGGTCTCAGCTATTTCAAGTTGCAGTGGCAAAATTCGGTCCTCTCGGGTGTTACGGAAACCATGGGTGTGGTGAACGCGCTCGGCGTGCGCCAACCAATTTCGCTCAAGCAAGAATCGCAGTCGGCGGGTCCGTGGACGTCGCAGATCTTCAACGGATATCTCTACAACAATCTGTACATGCTCGTGTCGGGCTGCAACGCAAGCCTGATTCGAAGCAGCAGCCTCCATTTTACCAAGGTGCCATGCCTCTATCTGCAACCCCCGGTCTTTGAGAGCTTGCTTGGCCTCTCCGACGCCAACGGCCGCTATGTCGACCAAACCGGTGTCATTCATGACCGCCTCGGCGCCTTCTCGTCGGTCGACATGTGGGTTCTCCCTGTGCCCGCCACCCTGCATGCGCTTGTTGACAGTGCTCAGATCGTATTGGCCGACATGCTCGCCTCGAATGCGACACTCGCAGCCGCCTACGTGGCGCTTCGTGGCGGCGCACTCATGCCGACGCCGCCTGCGTTTCGCGGTGCGTATGTATACTATGGCGGCAACCCCCTCTGCCTCCACGGTCTCGCGCAAACCTATGTCCAAGCTTCGTTTGCGACCACTGATACGTGCAACACCCCGCTCCCGCTCACAATTCAAGTCAGCGTGGCGGCTGCGCTTTGGGGGCTACGGTTGACGGCGCCGACAACGATCGAGGACATCTGCCTGAACGACACGGCGTGCCTCGACCTGCTCGCGCCAATGCACCACCTGGCCAGCGACCTGCCCAATGGGACGTCGCTCGCTGCCCGCCGCGATCTCGAAGCACTGGATATAAGTCTTGTCCAGCTGGCTTCGGATGCGAGTCAAATCAACTATACGCTGCTCCGACAGCCGCTGCTTGCGCGCTCGTTTGCGTTCTTTGGCTGGGTCCTTCTCTCCGACTGGGTCCTCGGCGTCCGCGAAGTCGTGTCCTTTGAAGGCGACAACGCGACACTCGTCTTGATATCGGAAGCGTACGACACCACGTCGACTGACCCGAGCGCAACGACCGTCGGGCGCGCGACCACCGTCGTCTTCTACCTCGTGGTGTACGTCTCAGTCATCTTGGTCGTCGTCGCCGTTGCCTGTAGCTTCTTCGGTCTGCTCCATCGCGCCGACCCCCGCCATCTCGTTGTGTTTCACCGGGTGGCCGGCGCGACGTGGGTCGGGCGACCCCTCCTCTTTCTCCGCGGCGCGTCCGCAATCGTGCTGCTGAGTACGGCGCCAATGGCACTCACCACGTCGTTTGGTCTTAGCCGCTTTGCTCACGCGCCGCGAGGGTTTCTGGAAGTGGCCGTCTTGGCGAGCGAGGCGACGTGGATCACGTACGTCATAAGTGAAGTCGCGCTCCTGGTGCCACTCGCTCGACCCCATGCGACAGGTCACCTCAGCGCAGGTGTTGTATGGGCCCTCTACGTCTCGCTCGAGATGACGTTTCCTGTCGAAATCCAAACGCAGTTGCACCAAGTGTGCACGGTGCAGTCGATGTACCATCAGCTTCAGTGCACGAGTGCAACCGTGACGATTGGCAGCTACGCACGCGCGTGCTGGCTCCTGCTCCTCCCCGTGCTCGTGGTCCCAATGACTGTCCTTGTGATGGGTATCGCAGACCGCCACCGGCCCTCGGCACCAGCATCGAACGACGTCCAGTTGTCCGGGGTCGCGACGGCCTACTTTTCAACGCCCAATGCGGCGTCGTTAGATCGTGTCGCGTTGCTTCTCGCTGGCTTGTACCGCGGCGCGCGCGTCACCTTTAACTTTACCCTTTGGGTGTTTGTTCGAGACAAGG